TATATATATATAAGGAGTAGATATCTAAATAAATAGAAATTGAGTGGTATGTTTGAGGTACATCACCGAAATTCCCTTAGTGCCAGTAGTCCGCATTCCGCAACCGCCTTCCTTCACACGCTTCTCTCCCTTCAATCAGAACTCCCCCCAACTCTCGAGCTCACACTTCTTCTACAGAGCTTCAATGGGTGATCTACACCCATTAGATCAGCAAGAAAACGGCGGCCCTCCGCCGACTTCACTTCCGGCACAAGAAACGCTAATCCCCTCTGCAACCTCCAAACGCCAGCGCCGCCCAAGCGTCCGCCTCGGTGAAATCGGAGACCAGCCCATCGCTTCCCCCTCCCACGACCCCTCTTCTCGCCGCCCTAAGCTCTCCAAGCTCCTCCCCACTTCCTCACCCCTTATTGGTTCGAAACCCTCCACCAAACCCCGAGTCACCGCCCCGATGTCCGCGAGGCGGGCTCGTACTAACTGGAACTCTCGGATCGACAATGAATTCGATCCCGATGCCGCTGATTTGAAGTCAAGCGGCGGTGATGAGGCTAGAAATGATGAGTATGTGGAGGATTCCGAGAGTCCTTGTCATAGAAACGACCACCGGGCTTCGATTAGGGTTAGGGTTTCGAACGAAGGGGAAGAGATTTCAGAGGAGGGATTCAAAGGTTGGACGGGTGGAATACGGTCGTTTCTTGAGGGGTTAGGGCTTGGACAATACACGCCTGTGTTCGAGATACACGAGGTGGATGATGGAGTACTCCCGATGCTGACGATGGAGGATCTCAGGGATATGGGTATCAATGCCGTAGGGTCGAGAAGGAAGATATACTGCGCGATTCAGAAGCTCAATAGGAGCGGGGATTCCTGATAAAGGTTTGTTTTCTAATCAGAAATTGCTTAAATTGCCGCCTTGGTTTGGTGATTTCAAGCTTGCTGAATATAATTAATTTTGACTGCTAGATGAATTTTCTTGCTTTTTGAAAAAATAGGGTTTTGTGTATAATTAAGTGTTCGTGTGCCGAAGCTTTTGTCAATGCGTGCTCTTGTTGCATATAAATGTATTATGAAGAACTTGTAGTGAATAATTGGAATCTCAAGTATAATAGTAATGAAACGCAACTAAAGTTGCTTGTTTTGCTAAATATGATTTATCTCACCTATCTGGTCTTTTCCAAGCTTTTCTTGTGTCTTTTTTTGGGAAATTTACATACATATCATACAATTCTTATTCATTTACATATCTAAGATCCAAAATTTGATATTTAAAGTTATAACATCTTTATGTCATAGGCCTATGCCTGAAAAGGTGTTGTTTTTGTTTTGATGTTAAAAAATTCGAGTCGCATGCATGTAGATATGAAATTTTAGGACTTAGATGTGTAAATACATAGGAATTGTGTGGTGTGTAGATAAATGCCACTTTTTTGGATAAATTTACATACATACCACACAATTCTTCTTGCACAATTCTTATGTATTTACATATCTAACGCCAAAAATCTGATATTTACACTTCTAACATCTTTGTGTCGTAGACCTATGCATGAAAATGTGTTATTTTTGTTGTGATGTTGAAGATTCGAATAGCGTGCATGCAGATATGAATCTTTAGGTGTTAGATATGTAAATACATAAGTTTCGTGTGGAATGTATGTAAATGTTTGTTGCTTCTCTGGTAGAAGCATGGAGCTTTCCTTCGATCATATTTATACATTACTCGTCCGTAGGGGTGGAACCGGCCTCTTTTTTTAGGGTGTAAAATTTATTACAAAAGTTAATTAATTGAATACATAGCACATAATTCAAAATTAAAACATGACTTTTATTATCATTGATAAATTAAATAATATTGCAATCATTTTAATCTATTTTGTATATTTTTACAATACAAATATACATAAAAATTTAGTAAATGTATGCAAAATAATTAATAAACAAATTCAAAAAAAGTTAATACAAATATACATTAGGTGCATATAAAAATGTAATTTTCCTTTTCAAATTGAGGGGCATTTACATACATACGACACAATTCTTATGTATATACACATCTAACATGTAAACTTCACTTTTTACATTTATGCCATCCAAAATTTTCATATCAAATCAAAAGCATTATTTCTATAATTTTTGTGATTAATCTATTTTGATTTTCGAAAAAGTGAAAAAATATTTTTTTTATGCATAATTAAGGTGGTATTTTTGTAAAATTTGAATTTTGCGTGTTAGATATGTAAATACATAGGATTGAGTTGTAGGCATGTAAATTTCGCAATAATATCACATTCCAGGTTTCAACTACAAAAGTGCCTTTGGAATTTAGTCCCATTATAGTTTGGAAACAGAATTATTTACTGTTTAAATAATGAAAAGTTTGCATTTGGCCATCATAAAGATGCGTTTGTGTTTACCCTGGTGGAAAACTGTTATACTAGCTTTAAAGGAATGGTAAAATCATTTTAAAAAAAGATTAATGCTTGATCAGTAAGTTTAACTTTTATATATACTTAATTACTGTCTAAAAGTTTTAAGCTTAGATTCTCTTAAATTCAGTATTCAACAGATTAAAAAGTTAAAAGAGCTATAAAACAATAGATTAAAGGCTTTAATCGATATTTGCTCCGTTGGTTACAGCTTAATCGGGGCAATCAATATAATTAGAGGGGGCAAATTGGGGCAATTAATATAATTTAGAGGAGGCAAATATGATTAAATTGTATATTTTATTAATAAATTTTGAAATTTCAGGGTGGGCAATTGCCCTCCCTCAAGTATATGTTGGTCCGCCTCTGCTTGTCCAATAATTTGATTTTTTTTTAGTTGTCCTTGATAGATGGTTTTTAAATGCTTTAAATTGCACGAAGCTTCTCCAAAGTCATGATATGTACTCTATGTGGAATATGAAATTAAGGGTTTGTCTGAAACAGTTGTGGTTGTTTGAACAAACAGCTGTGAAGCTGTTGCAGAAGAAACTGTTGTTTAAAAGTTGTGGTGGCTATTGTAAATTTATTTTATTTTTAAAAGTTAAACCGTAATTTTTTAGCAGCCACCTCACTTAAACAAATCACGTTGCAAAACATAGCTTTTCATCACAATTTTTTGAAAAAATAGGCAAAACACAGCTTAGCAACACTGCAAAGTGCAGTGTGGCATTGTACCGCTGCCCCAAACACATCCTAATTCTTACAAACTTGGTAAGAAAAATCTTCAATTTGTGTTGACTTTGATTTTGCATAGCCGGTGTTTGGAATTTGTTGCAGAAAAAAAAAAAAATCAAAGATTTACATACATCCCACTAAATTCCTGTGTATTTACATGCACTTAAGCTTCAATACTTACACATACATGCCACCTTACCTATGCTGTTATGCATGAATTGGTGTATTTCACTTTTTAATAGTTAAAATGGTGGTATTTTTTATGTGATATGAAAGGTTTAGTTGGTATGAATCTAAAAATTTAAGTTTAGGTATTATATATGTAAATAAATAGAACTTAGGCAGTCTGCATGTAAATCCACCCGCCCGCCCAAAAAAAAAGAAGAAATAAGTAATTAATAGCTTGATTTTGCATAAATAACTGCTTCTTTAAAATTTTGAATCCATTTTCCATGTCCTTCACTCAACTTCCTACAATGCAAGCAAAAGATTGCGTTAAACCTAACGGCCTTCAAGCTATTTTATGAGGATAACTATTAATATAAATGATTTTTAACCTCATCATAAGTTATAGACATTTGTAAATGTAGTTGCAGGCACTTTCTAAGAGCATAGTATGCAGAGGTGGATATGGTCCTATTAGATAGCAGTAGTCTTCTGCAAGGACATATCTTAGGTAAATTTACGTACATAACACACCTAAACTTTGATATTTATATTTTTAACGCTTTGGTTTGATATACCTTTGCATGAAAAGTTGTATTTCACTTTTAAAAGTTCATAGTAGTGGTATGTTGATATGATGTTAATGATTTGAATGGTATGTGTGTAAATATCAAAGTATAGGTGTTAGATGTGTAGACACAAGAATATTCTGGCATATATGTAAATGCCACCTGGGACATTGGAGGTGCAGTGCGAAATAGGGTTTTAAACTTCATATTAGTAGTACGACGAAGCCCTGGTAGTGCATTTCTTTTGTTCACTTCAAACCATTAGCTATGATTCTTGTTTTAATAAGATTAGTATTTAGATTATGTGATGTTTTCAAGTGTGAACATAAAGGGCTTGAATGACAAGTTTTTTTCTTTGCCACATGGCTTTTATGTCTCGTGTAACATGTGTTGCTCTAAATGTCCCTTTTTTATAAGGTTTGCTTTTGTAAAATTTAGATGTTATGTCACATGTGGATGATTGCTTGGGCTTATACCTCATAGAAATTCGGATAGTTTAATGCGTATAGAATTAAAGCGAGGCATGTAAAAACATATAGATGGAAGCAATGTGAGAGTACACGAAGCAACTTTTGCATTTTGAACTACATTTAAGCCCTCGTTAATTTTGAATTTGAGCTTTAGAATTTAACTAAAGGAAGGAAATAATTCTAGCATAAAAAGAGGCTTCTCCTAAGCCTTTGCCATCCACACTTTATGTTGATGAGGGTAGTGCAGTTAGAAGTAAAAGGCATGTTTAAAAGTGTTGGTGTTAGTTATAAGTGAAGGGTTTTATACCTCATCAAAACACAACAGAATGAAAATAATATATAGAACAATGCAAAGATGTTCAAATAGGAGCAAGTTGCTCAAAATAATCATTTAAATTGTATCAATCCATTTTAAAATCATGTCTATTATTATTAAAATTATTGTCTACGATGTTCCGGTTATTTGCCACTAAGCGCTTCCTTTTGTAGGAACAGATTCATTTATGTGATTTTAGAGGAAGGTGAGTAAGCAATGTTGCTACTCATTTATGATGTAAAACTTGGCTTTGAAAGCACAATTTCCTTTCTTGTCAATGGAGTAACTAAATTAACGCCTTAATGAGTGGTGGAAGTCTTAGTTTATTAACAAAAAAATTTAAATCAAGATTTTTCTTTCTTGTTTGACTCGTTTGATGTTTAATTGTGAAACTAAACCATTAGTTCAATTGATTCAGCTTTAAGTTCTCTGGAAGGTTTTCAATAGATACAATGTTTATTTAGTAGATGATTCATGATGCTTGAGTAGTGGTTAGTCGTCCTCTGTTACTTGCCAAGTGTTGACTAGAAGCCCTCTGAGTGTGAGCTATTCATCCCCATGATATAAGAGTCTTGAGTCGAAGTAATATTTTTTTCAAGATGACTAGTGCACAAGTTAGTTTTCGGGACGACTTGGAGAAGTTTTGACATGTATATCTGACTAGTGGATGCTTGCGGTAGATGTTTTGGTGTGTTGACCACTTGAGCGGATATCATTTAACTCATGTAAGATTCTATGTTGAAAGAAAGCTTGAGCTAATCAAGTAAACACCGAATGATTTAAAAAATTGTCATCATTTGTGATGATTAGACGGATACACAAAGAATGCCTCTAGTTAACTTTCCGAGAGTTACAAAAGCATGCATTTTTGTATAAAGTCATCAATTTTGATAGAGTATATAATGATAGATTCTACATTGCAATATATATCTAAGGTGTGATTATATGGTTTGGTTTAGATTAATATGTTCTAGTAATCATTGATAATGCATCAAACCGCATCGTTGCATCAATGTTTGTAATTATAGAAATGCTAATTGTGAACCAATACCTTAATATTTCTTGGAATCTTTTAGTTAAAATGCTTTCGGGAATCTTTGTATGATGCACCAACATGCGAAGTCATATAAACACTTATTATGGCGGAATACCCTCATGTGTTTTGATCCTCCCGTGTTGTTTACACATTGAATCTTGCATGAAAGAACATTTGTGCTGCAAATAACTTAAGAGGATACTGAGATGACTCATGAAGATTATGGTTGAATCATAAACAATGTGGTGGATATAAGCATCGCAAGGAGTGCCATCATGAATCACTCAATGAAGCTCTAAAATTTTAACAAATTTGTGTAAGTTAAAGATATTGTTTATAGCCGAGACTCCATTTGCGTTGATAATCATCATATTTATGGATATAAAATTATACACTAATGATTGTGAGCAATGATAATTAGTGATAAGTGAAACATGTATTGAGTTGATGATGTGAATAAGACTATGTTTGTGAAGTTGTTGTTGGATGATATTTTATGGGATAAAATATATCCTGTTGTCTTTTAAATATGATTCTTAATTATACCTGATAGTGTTAAATCTTGTCTCCACCATGTGTATGACATGTGAGACCATGATTGAAAAGGTGGAGATAATATATAAGGACATGAAGAAAAGACAGTATTATAGTCATGTTTGTCTAAGTAACTCCTCAAAACTACACTGCTCATGTAAATACATGGATATATCAAATGCAAGCAACAAATATTTGGAAAGATTTTTTATAATATTAGAGTGAGAACAATGACAAATTTGGAGTTTGCTTACTTTTTAGAATTTAGTGGTGATTATTTCAATCATGAGTCCATTACATATATATATATATATGGTATTTACATAAATAACACCAGAAGCATTGCTATTTATAAATTCTAGCATCCAAGTGATATTTACGTGTATCACGATCAAACCATTACGAATTTGATAAAAATGAAAAATATGGGTTAGCGTTTATTAGATCTTTGAGTGAAATTTTGAAAAAAATGGTTAAAAGAGAGTGCTAGACTTGTAAATAGCTATGTTTCGGGTGCTATTTTTGTAATTGGCCCTAATACAAAAATGTTATGTCCATTACATGTTCTTTATTCGGGGATTTACATGCATACAATCTAATTCCAATTTATTTACATTCCTAATGACTAAATTTTTTTTTTTTTTACATTTATACCTTCAAAAGTTTCCTTGTAAATTGAAAAAAACAACATGCTAAAAAATATTTAGGGAAAAATGCTGCAAGTGATTTTAGCCTTTTGACGTGCTTTTAACTGTAGATGGTAATTTACTACACAATATTTAGGTAGTAATTAGTCAAGATCATTGCCTTTTGCTTTTTTAACTAATTATTTAATTAATATTATTATTTTTGTATTATTGCCTTCTACAATTGAAGCCTGTTGGGAAGGTAATATTCTGCTTTTTCTTTCAACAATTTTCCAGGTGCTATATATATATACAAAAAATTTAAGATAAAAATAAATAAATAAATAAATAATACACACGCGCACACAATAGTCTTGTCCTCTGAACTTGTGCGATCTTATTATTTTTCATCCATGTGTATGTATAATCTCTCTCCAATAAGATATGAATAATTGAAATTTAAAGTAATGAACAATCTTTGTTGTAAACTAATCACTAAGTTAACTAAGTTTGAAATTGTTTTTAACAAGCGTGTTTGTGTTCTGCTCGTATTACATATTATTGTTTATGTTTGGCTTTAACTAGTTTAAATTATTTAGAAAAATAGATATAGGGTATTGAATTCCAACTTGCAACATTATCATGCCATAAAAAACACAAGCACAAGACTACACGAGTTATATTGATTTAAATTTAGATATACATATATCTAATATACTATTATATAAATAATTTTTATAGTTTTCATATTTCAAACTAAAATGAACTAATTTGATCGAATAAAGGTTTATTTGCGATCTACTCGTTTATAATTAGCTTAAAAAATCGAGTTGAAGTGATTTTGTGGCTTGAAGTAAAATTTTAAAGTTTAGGTGATTATCATGATACATTTAAAATTTCGGATAGATGATAATTAAAAATTTTATTTTAAAAATATGATAAAAAAATTATGGTCATCATCAAGTTTTCTTACATTTTTATTATAAAATTTAACTTATTATATATAATATCCACTCAACAATTAATATAATCATCCGCCCATCGGTGCTTTGACGTCGACTGCCGCCACCCTATCATTTTCCTCATTATTTCGTTTTGTCCCTCTTTTAGATGAATGGCGAGGAAATGGACACCGAATTAACACATTCTCACAAGTAAATATGTATATACTTTTCGTCGACGACATTTAATGAGAGGCGAATAAACACCATATCATTAATTAATTTATCCAATATTTAATGATTAAAAATTTATAATTATACATATATACATTATATATACCCTTTCTAAATGACAATTATCAAAAAAGTGTAAAATAAAATCGAGTTGTTATCAAATGATATACATAAAATTTTTATAGATGTCACATAATAATGATACATTTATATATCTGATGTTTAATATCACGGATAAATAGTCTCACATTAGATACACGTAGAACCGAAAAACAGTATTTAAGTCATGTTCTGCCCACCACCCCTAATAGCTCTTTTAGGAGATGACATTAAGCTTTAATATATATATATATATAAATAACACTTTAATATCATAATCACATTCAAATATACACATAAAAACATAGATTTTATCCCGAAAAAAATTAAATTTATTGACATATTATTATAGATTTAATTAGTATAAAAATAAATAGTAAAACTTATCCTCTTTTACATAAATACCACTCAATTCTTATACATTTACATACCTAACCGCTAAACATTCCTGTTCACATTCATATCACTTAACATCACAACAAAAAAAATCATGACCATCTTTTTAAAGCTTAGATTTATGAAACCAAGATATTATAAATAAATATCAAACTTCAAGTGTTTAGATATGTAAAAACATAATAATTGTGTGGTAAATTTTTAAATTTTTTAAATAAAAAAAGATAAAAATTATGTTATATATATA